TGATAATTGGGATAGTTCAGTTCAATATGTGTGCGTGTTGTATACGGTTTACAACTTATGGCGACCATAAGGTAAACTTGTCACATGGTTTCTTTCCTTGACAAGATTTGTTAAGAGATTTGCCATTGTCTTCTCCTGAGGCTGAGAGCATGCGACCCAAGATCACCCAGTGGGTTTGGATGGCCAACCCTGGTCTCCAGAGCTGTAGTCCAACACTCAAACCATTATGCCATGCCAGCTCTTCGGTACAATATAATGTTACTGAAAAAGCTTACACACATGGGCACATCCACACAATAATAATAATAATAATAATAATAATAATAATAATAATAATAATACTTTATATCCCACCCTTCTGCAGATGCAATCGAGGCGACTTACAACAATAAAGCTAGATTGCAGCTAAACTTTAGATTGTAGCTAAACTCAGAAGGAAGTTTAAGGGGAGTGGCTGATAATGCTTCTTCCATGAGCCAAAAATGCTCCAGATGTCTGGCTTTAGAAGTCCTGATTCCACTATAGAATTGGCCTAGACTCACAGGGTGCTCAAAACAATTTTTGGAAGAAGAACATCAAGAAATTTCATCTTAGAGGCTTTCTAGGGAGCACTAGATGTCATGACTCACCACTCTCTCTTTTTCCAAGGGGAATAATAGCATCAGTCTTGTTTTGTCCAGCCATTTTCATTCCTAGGGTGGCTGTATGGTGGAGAAAGACCCTCCAAAAGACCATCAAGAGAATTCTGTGAGAGGGAATAAAAGATCTCTGGTTCACCTTTTGGGGTGGTTGGTAAGGAAACACCTGGCATGAGGAGGCTTCGATATACTCAGCTTCTGTGCAGGGTATAAACTGGACCTTGCCTTTGACTTTTCCTGATGCTTCCTTGGTTTCTTCCAGGTGCAATCTCCTTACCAGTCAATCACTACCTTTCCTAGGAGGAGAACTGCTTGCCCCATGGAGCTACTCACTGGTCCTGAGGTTTGGGGGGAACCGGGCTCTTGGGTTTCCAAAGTCAGGTGCCATCAGCTATATAAAAAGGCAGCCCAACAAGAGGGAAGGAGGACTTTACCTTCAATGGCTAGATTTTTTTAACTGTCTAGGTGCAAAGAGGGAGAAAAACAGAGCCCAAATCAACTGGGGAAAAAGGCAAGAAGGACCCACACAAGAGGGACAGCCAAGGTGGTACACACTGAGCTTGGCAAGGGTCTCTTGCCTCCTAGCTAGGCAGCCAGGGGAGCATTTCCATTGTCTCTTTTACCAGGTGAGTTTCCCGATTGGTGCCATTCCTCCTGATCTGCTTACTTTTGAGTAGCCAACCCAATTTAGGCAAGTCACACACTCTCAGCCTCAGAGGATTTCCATGGCAAAACCCCCTCTGAACAAATCTTTCCAAGAAAACCCCATCATAAGTTCACCTTAGGGTTGCCAGAAGTCGGAAATGACTTGAAGGAACACGGCAGCAACAATATATATAGATAAATAGACACACACACACACCAACACATATACACTGGAGGCTCACAGGACAAAATGGATCACAGCCTTAATTCTGAGAGCAACTAAATCAACTCTGACTAGATAGGCGTGATTAACAAAGCCAAAAATGGCTCTCTACTAGTCTGAATAGCTTGCCATGGGTGCCTGGTGAATTTGGTTGGCTTGGCTTGATTGAGACTTGGATTTCTGAATTATTCTCCAGAATACAGAAATGAAATAACAGGTGCCAGACTGTGATTCCTGTTGTATTGGGGCTTGTTGTATTTCCTCCACATAGGAAAT